GTTGTTTCTGCCAGAGGATGTCATGGTAGCCTCCCACTAACTAGGCCACCGGTGACAACAGCAGAGGGGACGACCAGGGGAATTACCTGGGTTTCGTGTGCACGCCTCCCTAGCCCTGACCCTCCCCTCACTGCACCGCAGAGAATCTAACTCCCTTTGAGCTGCAGACTGCATGCTTCAGTCGGTTCAGTTCAGTCGCCCAGTCGTGTCCGACTCTTTGCGACCCCATGGACGGCAGCGCGCCAGGCTATGTCCCCAGAAATGTGTATGTTGAATTGCTAACCCCCAATGCGATGGTCCCTGTTGGCTCAGCAGAAGAGAATCTGCCTCCCAATGGAGGAAATGCAGGTTTCATCCCTGGGTTGGGAAGATCCCCTGGAGAAGGAAATGGCAACCCATTCCAGTATTCTTGCCTGGAGAATCTCATGGACAGAGGAGTCTTGTGGGCTACAGTCCATGGGCTTGCAAGAAGCAGGACAGAGCACTCAAACATGCAAAATGTGATGGCAACAGAAGGCAGGGATTTGGGAAGTGGTTAGATGGTTGGGGTTGAGCCCTCATAAACGGGATTAGTGTCCTTACAAAAGAACCCCAGAAAGCTTCTTCACCCCTTAACCAGGTGAAGACTCAGAACTTGCCAGCATCTTGATGCTTGTTTGTTTATTAAGAGATGTTTTTAAAACGTAGACCATTTTTAAAGTCTTTACTGAACTTCTTACGGTATTGCTTCTGCTTTGCGTTTTGGTTTTTTGGCCCCGAGGCATGTGGGATCTTAAGTTCCCTGACCAGGGATTGAAGCTGCACCCCCCGACATTGGAAAGGGAGGTCTTAACCACTGGAGTTCCGGGGAAGTCTCTAGTGCCTTCATCTTGGACTTCCTAGTATCTAGTACATGGAGAAAGGTGAATTCTCTGGGGCCTTGATCTTGGACTTGCTAGCATCTGCAACAGGGAGAGAGGTTTGTGGTTTTGTTACGACAGTCTGTACGGACTAACATGCCTCTCCAGGGAAGACGACATCACCCATCTCCTGCCATCGATTCTGGGCATCCTGTGCTAAAGAGCCATGAGAAGTGGCTGTGTCCGTTTCCTTTGTCTGTTCTTTTGGAAAACTACCTTATTCCAAGATCAAGTTGGATGTGTTATTCCAAGTTGTGCAGGACTTCACAGTCGAAAGGTTTTCGATAGCAAGGAAAAGACTGATAGCAAGGAAAAGAATCATATTCTTGCCCCTTTTGAAGTCACTCAAGAGCAAGGGAAATTAAAAAATAAAGAACAGCAGAGGATTTATCCCAAGGGGACATATCTGAGGATACACAGATATATGTATGAGCATGCAGCTGGCAAAGCTTTGAGTTGAGTCAGCAAAAGCAAAATGAAGTATAGTGGTGAGTGAGTACATGGTGCATTTAGCCCACTTAAACTGTCTGTATAAATATTAATAATTTAATAGTAATAAAAAGTACTTTCTGTAGAATTATAAAATGACAATGAAATAATAATTACTACTACTTTTATATAATTTCCAGTAGTCACACACGGATGTGAGAGTAGGACCAAAAAGAAGGTTGAGCGCCAAATAATTGATGCTTTTGAATTGTGGTGTTGGGAAATACTCTAGAGAGTCCCTTGGACTGCAAGGAGATCAAACCACAGTTTGTCCTAAAGGAGATCAACCCTGAATATTCATTGGAAGGATTGGTGCTGAAACTGAAACGCCAGTATTTTGACCACCTGTTGCGAAGACCTGACTCAGAAAAGACCCCGATGCTGGGAAAGACTGAACACAAGAGGAGAAGGGGGTGACAGAGGATGAGATGGTTGGATGGCATCACTGACACAACAAACATGAGTTTAAGCAAACTCGAGGAGACAGTGATGAACAGGGAAGCCTGGTGTGCCGCAGTGTATGGGGTCGCAAAGAGTCAGACACAACCTAGTGCCTGAACAACAAAAAATCATTAATAAAATTTATCCACTTTTCCTAATCTGCAGTAATTGCTTTCCTTCCTGCTTCAAGTTATGTAGACAATCACTTCAAAAAATTTTGCGACAGTGCAGACATAACTTAGGCAAGAAAAACTCTAAACCCTGAATTTCCCTAATAATCGGTGCCTCAACTGTAAAAGTACTGCCCAAGAACCAAAAACCTTTCTATGATTAATATTTATATATGTAAGTAATTATGCGTATCTGTTTTAATCAGGGGGAAAAAAAGCAGCATAACTGAAGCCTTTTCATACTGTTCATGGGGTCCTAGAAGCAAGAATACCAGAGTTGGATGAAATTTCCTCCTCCAGCGGACCACATTGTATCAGAACTCTCCACCGTGACCCGTCCGTCTAGTGTGGCCCTGCATGGCATGGCTTGTAAAGAATCTGCCTCCAATGCAGAAGACGTGGGTTTGACCCCTGGGTCGAGAAGATCCCGTGGAGGAGGAGGAAATGATAAGCCACTCCAGCATTCTTGCCTGGAGAATCCCCTGGACCGAGGAGCTGGGCGGGCTACAGACCAGAGAGTCGCAATGAGTCAGACACGAGTGAGTGACTTAAGCACACATCGTGGCATGGGTCATAGCTTCACTGAGTTATACAAGTCCCTTTGGGACCACAAGGCTCCATTGTAACCGCCCAGGCCTGTTTAAAATCCTCATTCAATGCCCAGAGCCTCACGGTTCTCTTTCCAAGCTTCACGTAGGCACACATGATGCCCAATATTAGGAAGCCAGAATGTAAGGGTTTGTTTTTTTTTTTGAATATATGACTTGCTCCTTCAGCGCATTATTTAACTTCAAATCTCTTGTCTCTAATAGTCTGTGGAAGCAGTGGGTTACCATAGTTACAAAGTAAAGAGTGTTATGGCAACAAAGAAATGACTGATGAAGTTCTACATGACAGATCCAAAGACAGTAGGAAACGGCCCCAGCGGGCACCTGGGAACTTATCGAGCTGCCGGTCACAGATAATGCACCATGGAAACGTATCAGGATCTGGGTCAGAGAGCCTCTCCGGGGTTTCCAGACGCCTCTCCTACGGGGCGCTTCGAAGGGCTGACCTGAGGAACGGGGCCACGCTGGCGTCAGCATCCATTAATGTTAGCACAGCGCCCGAGGACGCGCTATAACCACCGCCCGCCACGCTCTGTGATGGGTTCAGGCCAGGGGCTGTGATGACGTACCAGGAGAACCCCGGGGCTGCAGGTGCCTGCCACAGGGGTTTCCCTCGTAGCTCAGTCCGTAAAGCGTCTGCCTGCAGGGCGGGAGACCCGGGTTCCATCCCTGGCTTGGGAAGATCCCCTGGAGAAGGCAGCGGCAATCCACTGCAGCATCCTCGCCAGGACAGGGGCTTCCCTCGTAGCTCAGTCCGTAAAGTGTCTGCCTGCAGGGCGGGAGACCCGGGTTCCATCCCTGGCTTGGGAAGATCCCCTGGAGAAGGCAGCGGCAATCCACTGCAGCATCCTCGCCAGGAAAATCTCATGGACAGAGGAGCCTGGTGGGCTGCAGTCCATGGGGCTGCAAAGAGTCGGGCACGACTGACCGACTACTTACTTACTTTCCACATGTAAGAAAGCCGCTCTTCCAGACCTGTCTTTTAACCATCTTACACGATCCTCCCACTAACAAGGTCAAAGACGTGCAGTGTGGGGACGACACACTTTTTAAAATCTAACGTGCGGACCTTTCCTCTGTTGATGAGACAGACACAGAAGACGCTGTATGTACATCCGATGGGATATCCCTCAGCCATGAAAAAAAATGAAATGATGCTACTTGCGGCATGGGTGGACCCAGAGAGTGTCACAGCGAGTGAATTAAGTCAGAGGAGGAGAAATAGCATATGACATCCCTTAGGTGTGGCATCTAAAAAGAAACGCTACAAATGAACTTACTTACAAAACAGAAAGAGATTCACAGATTTAGAGGAGGAATTTATGGTTGCCTAGGCAGGGGGACGGAAGGTGAATGATACAGGGGAAGGGATAGTTAGGGAGTTTTGGATGGACATGTCCACACTATGCATGCGTGCGTGCTAAGTCGCTTCAGTCGTGTCCGACTCTTTGCGACACTATGGGTTGTAGCCCACCAGTCTCCTCTGTCCATGGGATTCTCCTGGGAAGAATACTGGAGTGGGTTGCCGTTTCCTTCTCCAGGGCATCTTCTCAAATCAGGGACCGAACCCAGTTCTCCTGCATTGAAGGCAGATTCTTTACCGTCTGAGCCGCCAGGGATGTTGATTCAATGGGATATGACTCAGCCATCAAAAAGAAGGAATTAATGCCATCTGCAGCACCACGGATGGATCTACAGATTATCACACCATGTGAAGCAAGTCAGAGAATAAGAACTATTGTATGACATCCCTTATATGCAGAATCTAAAAAGACATGATACAAACGAACTTATTCACAAAACAGAAACAGACTCTCAAATTTAGAGAATGAACTTATGATCGCCTATACACACTGCTATATTTAAAATGAATAACCAACAAGGACCTGCTCTCCAGCACAGGGGACTCTGTTCAACATTCTGTAATAACCTGATGGTTCCCAGGGGGAAGGATGGGGGGAGGGATAGTCAGGGAGTCTGGGATGGACATGGACACACTGCTGTGTTTACCATGGAGAACCAGCAAGGACCTGCTGGACAGCACAGGGAACTCTCCTCAATACACTGTGATAACCTGATGGTCACCAGGGGGAAGAATGGGGGAAGGGATAGTTGGGGAGTCTGGGATGGACATGGACACACGGCTGTATTTAACATGGAGAACCAGCAAGGACCTGCTGGACAGCATGGGGAACTCTGCTCAATGTCACGTGGCAACCTAGATGGGAGGGGAGTCTGGGGGAGAATGGATACATGTATGAGTATGGCTGAGTGCCTTTGCTGCCCCCTGAAACTATCACAACGTTGTAAGTTGGCTATACCTCAAAACAACAGAAAGTTTTAAAAAATTACAAGCATTACAAAAATTCATAATAAAATTGATAGTGACGATAGGCTTTTAAAAAAGGATTTAATTAGAAACCTCCGTGAAGAAGTGTGTTCTCCGTTAACAAGCTGTAAGCGTCCTACTCAAACCAACTTTCTTTACGTAAAAACCTGCTGGCGTCCTCGAAGCCCCGTTGATAGAGCGATTCCATTGTCCTCCTGCTTGGCGGGAAGAGGGCCCGGTTGAGTCTTACCAAGTTTGCCACGGACAGCTGGGACAGAAAGACACACGGGGACTGTGGGATATGACGGGGCTAGTCAATCAATCTGTACTTCTGTAAGCAAAGCCTGCTTGTTATAGATACAATTAGCAATGCAAAAACAAACAAACAAAAAATCAGTAGGAAGAAAATCATCTTAAAATGTGAACTGCAGGGCTCTCCAGTCAGTATAAACAAAATAACCTTAAAAGCCTGTGAGCTCTGGAGACCTCTTGCTGAAACAAGGAGCTGCCCATCACAACTAAGATCTAATGCAGACAACCAGTAAGTAAATAAGTATCTTTTTTAAAAAATAAAATTGCATTGAAAACTTGCCAAGTATGCTGACCTGAAAAATAAATGAAGAAACGGGAAATGTCCCACAGAGACAGTTCAAAAATAGTAAAAAAAAAAAAAAAATTGCACATTCACAGTCTATAGGTACCCAGGTCCATATGCACGACATATGCTGTGAATCATTTAAAATATGGCAAAAATCACTGCACTACTGTAAAGTAATTAGCCTTCAATTAAAATATATTAAAAAAAAATAAAATATGCATGCAAATCTGTACATACGATGGGGTTGCCAAGTGTGGGAAGCACGTGGAAAGTTTCAGGGGATCTGTGACGATCGGGGAACATCAGGACTCACCAGTACGTCCTGGTTGGTGATGCTAACGTAGAAATGCAGCCGCCTTTTATCCTGCGGGGAGACGTCCAGGCGCCCACTGAATGGGGAGATGGTCACCGTGCGGCCAGTGGGCAGGACGGGCAGGCTGTTGGTGAAGCCTCCGTCCACCCACTTCTGTGGAGAAAACGGCCCGGGTCAGCACGTGGAGACCACGTCCCTCCACGTGGAGACAGTGAGTGTGGATTTCCCGAGACGACACTGTCCTCCTGAGAATCCGAGCCTTGGGGATGAACGCTCTTGAGTTACTACTGATGAGGACCAGCTGGATCGGATTTCTTTTGGAAGCGAAGCAAATCTTTGCATGCATATCATTTACCCACAGGCTTCCGCAGTGGCTCCATGGTAAAGAACCTGCCTAGAATGTGTTCAATCCCTGGGTGGGGAAGATCCCCTGGAGGAGGGCATGGCAACCCACTCCAGGATTCTTGCCTGGAGAATTCCACGGACGGAGGAGCCTTCTGTGCTATAATTTATGGAGTCACAAAGAGTCAGACATGACTGAGCACAGAACACACACACACAGCCTTTATGCATATAGTAAGAAGTTTGGGTTTATAGTAAGAAGTTATGGAGAAGGCAATGGGTTTCTGCGGTGGCTCTGCTGGGAAAGAATCTGCCTGCCAATGCTGGAGACCTGGGTTCGGTCCCTGGGTCGGGAAGATCCCCTGGAGAAAGAAATGGCAACCGGCTCCAGTATTGCCTGGAGAAGCCCATGGACAGAGGAGCCTGGTAGGTTCTCAGTCCATGGGATCGCAAGGGTCGGACACGACTTAGCGACTAAACCAAACCAAGAAGTTTGGACGGAATCAGGAAATCTCTCCACTTGTTTAAAAGCTTTAAGTAGATTACTTAAGACCTTATTATTTTTACTGATGATGGCAGATGCATAAGAAGCCACATGTAACAAGCTTGGGATTTAAACCATCTAATCAGGATGCAAAGCCAAGTTGACTCTGACACTGAGCAGACCATCCCCCATAACAGTGGCTCCATTTTTAACTTCAGAACTGGAAATCAGCATTGTCTGTACCCAAGTGAAAAGTAAATAAATAAAGGACCACTAGAAGCGCTTTCATCTCCAAAGTGACTCCTGAGTACGTAGCACTTCAAGCCTTAAAGAATTCGGGGTGGGGTGGAAGGGTGGGAGAGGGGTAGGAAGTGTTCAACAGGAACATTGTTCAGAAGAGATTCTGTGCTTTCAGACCTCAGCCCAAAGGAAAGAGGGGGAGACACACAGCAGCAGGACAGAGGACCGTGAACAGGCTTCCGAACACCCGGACACTGGGGGAAGGCTGGAGAAGCACAAAGACGCAATTCCTCATGTTTGTTTTAAGTAAGAAAGACTTTCAATCTGTCCTTGAGCCCCAGAATCAGCTCTAACAATAAATACACAGACACACAAAACTGAAGTTCAAACGCTCCAAGCTATATTCAGATTGGAAATATCCTGCCGTGCTTGTGGGAATACAAAGCTAGAAGTGGAGAACACCTTGTCACTCACGCAGAGTCAGACATCCTGGAGTGTGAAGTCAAGTGGGCCGGAGGAAGCATCGCTACGAACAAAGCTAGTGGAGGTGACGGAATTTCAGCTGAGCTGTTTCAGATCCTACAAGATGATGCTTTTCAAGTGCTGCACTCAACATGCCAGCCAATTGGAGTTTTCCAATTTGGAAAACTCAGCAGTGGCCACAGGACCGGAAAAGGTCCAGCCTCCTCCCAATTCCCAAGAAGGGTGGTACTCAAGTATGTGCTAACCATTGGACAATTGCACTCATGTCCCACGTCAGTAGGATCACGCTTAAAATCTTGCATGCTAGGCTTTACTGTTATGTGAACCAAGAACTTCCAGATATGCAAGCTGCATTTAGAAAAGGCAGAGGAACTGCACACCAAACTGCCAACATTCACTGGATCGTGGAGAAAGCAAGGGAATTTTGGAAAAATATCTATTTCTGCTTCCTGCTTTACTGATTATACTAAAGCCTTTGACTAAAGCCTTTCCAAAAACTGAATTCTTAAAGACATGGGAATACCAGACCATCTTACCTGTCTCTGGAGAAACCTGTATGCCGATCAAGAGGCAACAGTTAGAACCAGACATGGAACAAGTGACTGGTTCAAAATTAGTAAATTTTGAAAAGTAATTAGTAAATTAGTAATTTACTAATTGAAAAGTAAATCAGTAAATTTTAGTAAAGGAAAAGACAAGGCTGTAAACTGTCACCTTGCTCATTTAACTAATATGCATGCATATGCATGCGAAATGCCAGGCCGGATGAATCCCAAGGTGGAATCAAGATTGTCAGAAGAAATATAAACGACCTCAGATCTGCAGATGATACCTGTCCAGTGGTAGAAAGTGAAGAACTAAAGAGCCTCTTGATGAAAGTGAAAGAGGACAGTGAAAAAGCTGACATGAAACTCAACATTCAAAAAACTAAGATCATGGCATCCGGTCCCATCACTTCATGGCAAATAGATGGGCAAACAGGGGAAGCAGTGACAGATTTTATTTTCTTGGGCTGCAAAATCACTGTTGAAGCTGAAGCTTCAATACTTTGGCCTCCTGATGTGAAGAACCACCTCACTGGGAAAGACCCTGATGCTGGGAAAGATTGAGGGCAGGAGGAGAAGGGGGTGACAGAGGATGAGATGGTTGGATGGCATCACCAACTCAATGGACATGGGTTTGAGCATATTCTGCGAGGAAGGACAGTGGAGGAAGGAAGTGGAGGACAGAGGAGCCTGGCGTGCTGCAGTCCATGGGGTCACAAAGATAGGACACAACTTATCGACTGAACAACAGCAACCCCACAAAAGAATCCATCTTGGAGAAAAAAAAGCAAGGAGGTGAGGACCGAGAAACAGGTTAGCATAACCTGTCCTTAACTGAGTTAAGGACCTTCATTCACCTTTTCCTAGATTTTTTAAAAAAATGTTTTTCTTACTTGTTTTGATTTCTAGAGCAGGTGACTAAATGATAGGTATTGTTTACAAAGGCCTTGGCCAGCAACCAACTCCCCTCAGAGGAAATAAAAGTATGCAAACAGAAAGTGAAAATGTGTTGAAAATCTCTGGTTTGAGGAAACTGCATTTTGGTGGAGGAAAAAAAACACAAATGGATTAGATTAAAATGAACCTGACCTGGGTAATCTGCTTACCGTCATTATTTTTTAAAAGAACAAAACAGATTATATAATTATTTATTATATATGCGCATTTATAATGTTTGTGAATGACGTGTATGTATGAATATGGATACACACACACACATGACTATACAAACACTGTCTAAAAAAGACAGGCTTGTATTAAGAAGGCCCCCACAGTGTAAAGTAACCACTATATTTGAGCAGACTCTGGCAGACAGTGGGGGGCAGAGGAACCTGGCACGCTGCTGTTCGTGGGGTTGCAAAGAGCTGGAGACGACTGAGCGACTGAACAACGACAAATATACTTTGATAAAAATTAATTAATTTTAAAAAAGAAGATCCCAGATATCTGGTTCTGTGCCTTATTGTCCTGGAGTTTTTTTTTTTTTTTTCCTTCTCTTCCCTCATTGCTTTGAATGTAGGTGCCAATTTCTGGAATAAGATAATACCTAGAAAGAGAGAGAAAGGACACCTTCCAAAATTACCACTCATACCCTCAGTAGAATATCTCACCAATAATGCAAAAATTCACAGAGGTTTCATCAAAGGAAATAAAAAATATGTACCAAGTGCCATATAACTTAACTGAGAGCTCACTTGTTTTACTCAACTTAAGCAAAAGAAGGGCAATCTGGCTCGTTAATGTGCAAAGTGTTCTAACTTACCATGGGGCTAATGACTGCCGCTTAAGGGAACTGAAAATCTTTTTTCCAAGTTTTGTTCACTCTTGTTAGCTTATTCTGATTTTGGATAAATGAGTCGGGGAAACATACAGCTTATCAAGCGGCTTGATTAAATTTTCAGCGCTACTCGCTACCCCGCAACCGTAACCCCGGCAGCTCAGACGTTGTAAATACAGTCCATCTTTCTCCTGATTCATGGTCTAATGGACTGTACCACTCTCAACAACCAACCCCCTACACACACACAGCCCACCCCTCCCCCAGGCATGCTAATGTGAGCAAAATTTCTGGAAACAACAATAACATTACTAACTGCAAATACCTTATATCTCATGTGCTACGGATAGATTAAAATTCTGCATGCCCTATGCGTCTGGCCATGAATTCTCTGGCTGTTTGCAACATATTCCTCAAAAGCATTCCCACTTCGTGGGCAGCATTCCATAAGCTGCCATGACACCTGCTTCCGTGAAACCTAGGATTCCAAAATCTTGCCGATGGCTCTTCCCAGGAGAGTTTTGTCCTGAGTTTCTTTGTTTCAGATTACAGCACCTTCATTCATCAAAGGAAAGAGTAGGCCAAATATGTTAAAAAGAAAATTATTCCAGGAGAAAAATGTGCTTCAAAAAGCAAACATGTGGGACCCAGTGGTGGCGCAGTGGCCGAGACTCTCCACTCCCAATGAAGGGGTCCCAGGTTTGCTCTCTGGTCAGGGAACCAGATACCACATGCCCAACTCAAAAAAAAAAAAAAAAAAATCCCAGGTTTGCTCTCTGGTCAGGGAACCAGATACCACATGCCCAACTCAAAAAAAAAAAAAAAATTCCATGTGCCACAACACAGGCCCAGTGCAGTCAAACTAAAAATTTTTTAAAAAATTTTTGTAAATTAAAAAACATTTATAAATGTGTGCAGAGAGAAAGAGACAGAAGTCGCTCAGTCGCGTCCAACTCTTTGTGACCCCATAGACTGTAGCCCCCGGCTCCTCCGTCCAAGGGACTTTCCAGGCAAGAATACTGGAGTGGGTTGCTATTTCCTTCTCCAGGGGATCTTCTCCGGCACTAAAGGCAGACGCTTTACCATCTGAGCCGCCAGGGAATATTTAAATGTGTATAAATATTAATAAACAGTAAAAAAAAACGTCTGGCCCCTACAGGTTGCTGTCACTTGTCCTAACATCCTTTACCCGCATCTCTGAATCCTGGCCCCTAGAGTTGACTGTCCTTTGTCCTAACGCCCTTGACCCGCATCTCTGACCATGTTCTAACGTGCTCCACAG